TACGTAGTATATATATATATATATATATATATATATATATATATATATATATATATATATATATATATATATATATATATATATATATATATATATATATATATATATATATGTATGTATAATTATGAATCCAGTAGTGTATGGTCTAATGCCCCCCGGACATCGACTGCACTGTGGACTTGACCGCGGACATGACTTCCTTGGCATTCTTGCACTGTGCAGCGAGCCAGCGGTGTGCTTTCGAGCACACCAGCTGCAACTCACTTAAACTCCCCAGCTCATACTCCATTAACATAATCGCAACCGTAGTACCCAGCACGTTGTCAGGCGTGCCTGTCAAGGACATTCTCTGCAGCACTGTATCGAGTGTCGCTCGATCCACACCCACTAGGCCCAGCAAGGCACTTGTCAGCACGAACGAGCCATCGAAGGATTGCAGCTGAATGAGCTGTGTCATCTTCTCCCGGGGTGTCATGACTTGCAACGTCGTGGACTGCTGGAGCCTCGGCGTCTCTTCTTCTTGTTCTCCTTCCAAATCCTCATCGCAGTTGTCGTCTTTATCGCTGCTACCGCCGTCATTGAACAGATCCCGTTGCCTTGACAACCCGGGCGCATTATCAATTGGTACTGGTTCGGCAGATGACATACGCATACACGCGTCCATACTATTGAACATAAGACCCCGGCCACTGGCACTTTTCTTTGACTTCTTTGCACTTTTCTCTGACTTCTCCAAGCTACGAAACGGTGAAATCGATCCCCCACCCAAAGCAGACGGGGCAGGTGCACACCCAAAACCGCCTTTGAGAGGTGCAGGTTTTGGGGCGCACATGAACGCGCCGTGTCCACTGGGAGGTGGAGGCGGTGCGGCACACTTAGACATCGTAAAGCCCCCCCCAAAGGGTTGATTCGGGCCACCGGGTGCACACTGTGGGGGTAGAGGTTCCGAGCGACTTCTCGGGACCGCTCTAAAGCACATGTTTCCCGAATTTTTGAGCAGGATATTTTTGCCCAGGTCTACCGGTGCCGGAGTATATCTGCATGGCTTATGTATATGCTCTTTCGCCGAAGAATGATCCACTGCAACATAGCTTGTATACTTTGAAACCAGATTATGCTTGATACCCAGATCTATTATTTCGGCCTTTGCGCTCGCCGGCTGGCTATTGATGCCAGGGTAACTTTTACCATCTTCCAGATCCTGTATCATAGACCGGGCGGCAAGAGTGTGGATGATCTGTGTGCCTTCATAAACGTTATCCTGGAGGATGGGCAGTACGGTCTCGGTCAACTCCTCGCGATCACCAACACCAGGGATATTAGCGTTTATTGTTACCTTTTTAGGGGTAGGATCATCCTTACCCAGGAAGTAGTACGCCAAGAAGCGGTCTCCGTCGAATATAGGTTGATATACATATGGGGTTTGCTTCGGGGGACTTGCTGGATAGTCGTTAGTCGATCGTTTAGACGGTGTAAGGTACCCGAGCAAAGTTTTGGTTTTTTTAACTATATCACCACTTCCGCGACGCCCGCTCGCATGCGTCTTCTCTTTACCCTCCAACCAGTCTATTGCTATGTTATTTATGGCAGGGGCATGTGACGCCTTCAGCTGCCTGATAATAGTAGCAGCTAAGCGATCCGAGTTTGTAACATATGCGGTTGTACCGTTGCCCACTCGTGCCATTCCATCGACAAGATTATGACTAACGCCGAGCCCGATCCCTAGGGTGAACATGCGGGTCAATGAGTTCATAGTGCTCTGCTTACGTACCATTGCTATGACTTCTTCTGTATTGCTAACCTGACCGTCGGTAAGAACGAATAGCTGACGGGCGTAGCCTTTGATAGGAGCAAGATTGTCGTAGATGTGTTTGAGTGGTGCAACAATTTCTGTTCCGCCGAAGTTCGCAGACATTCGCGATGCGTACGCGGAAGCTTGTTTCAGCGAAGTATCCGAGTATCTTTTGGATTTATTCTCGAAGAGCACGTCGTATCTTGATCCAAATCCTACTACATTGATATAGCAATCTTCAGGAAGTGAGCGAAGGAACAACTCCAAAGCTGCCCTGGCATCGTCAAATTGTGGACCGCTCATTGAACCACTGCGATCGATGACAAACACGAATTCACATTTTTGCTCTTCGAGTTCCAATCTAGGCACAAAGGTGACCATTAGCACACGGCTGCCATCTTCGCTCTTCTCAAGACAGGCTCGTGCCTCGTGTGGTTTCTCTGGTCGACACAACACCACAATATCGCCCTGTGTTATTGATTTTACCGTTGCACATACGTGCGTGGAATCAATATGCGTCCATACCATCGAAGCATGTGTTGGAGAGATGAAGGAAGCGATTGCAAACGGCATATTCCAGTCAAGTTTCAGTGTTATGGGCGCTACGGCGGCATCGTTTATAGCCACCGGTACTGTTCCAGGCGGTGTATAGCGAGCCCCGATATGAGTGGGGAGAAAGAACCGGATATCGTCCAAATCCATTTTCAACTTCACTAAATAGGTAATTGTAGTGCTAATCTCTTTCGCATTCGAAGATATGTTCCCCAGACTGATTGAGAAGATATCGGCTTGGGATTCTTCCATGAGCGCTGCTGTCTTGCCCTGCTCCATCGCTTGCTCATAGTCCTTTTTTGCCTCAGCCTTCTCCTTCACGATGCCTTCTATTTCTCGAGCATCCACAACCAGTTTAAAGCCACATACGGCCGCCTTATTGTCCAGAGGGAAAGTGTATGCAAACTCGCTATCACAAGAGGTTTTTGCAGGTGGATTGTAATGTTGAGTAACATGTACTTGCGCGGCCATATCAACAATATTGGCGGTGACTGTCACGCGCGAAAGCGAAACGGGCTGGCGTTGATGGGTTTGGTGGCAAACCCAGTAAAGTCCATAGACAACCGTCATTATGTGTTTTGATGATTTGTTATTTTCGATCTCGTAGTATTGTTTGCTGTGTGTATGAATTTCAAGTCTCACAATATGCAGGCTATTTATACGCACACCTCAGCTTGAAAATAAAATACCAAGAAGTTAAAGTAGTCGATACTTGGATATTTATTGTACCAGATACGGAGATACATACCTTTACTAAATACCAAGCCGTTCAAGCTTTCAAGGCAACTCCCAACTCCAAGATCCTTTTTATTTACACATTCGCGATGTCATTCGTCAGAATATAATTTGCGTAGATTATGGCAGGTGATAAGGATTTGAATAGATTTTGCCTTGAGGAATTGGTAAGCTTGCTTCATTTTGGCCCGGTTTAGCCTACGGCCCTACGCCTTTTTTTTGGTGCCCCGACGCCCCGTTGTCTTCAAAATCTGTAAAATATCAAAAAACAACAACAATTGTTTAAAAAAAAAAACAACAACTGCAAACTTAAAGCTGCCAATGACCCCGCTGGAGAGTGGAGACTAGAATTGTCTCAGATTTGTTTTCGCTCACGAATCCATGTTTCATACTCATCCAGCGACAATTAACAATCTCTAGTAGAGGACCTGTGTTACATAGCACTTAACCTGATAGGTCATTTGGGGCCATGCAATAACACCACAGTGGACACTCTCGCACTCACAGTCTCGCTATGTATTGTAATAAACTGGAAAGTTTGGAGTCTTAATTTCAGAATTGCGTAGCGGAAGCGAATGTGAAAGCGAAAGTATTCGTGAACGTGTGAAGCACAAGTGATTGAGAGTGCGTTTTAAAAATAATTCTTTTATATGTACGCTAAATATTCGAAATAGCTGCGCAACGTAGACTTTACTGGATGTGGAGCTATATATTTCAGCTATATCTCAGCATATCTCAGTCTATCTTGTGAAGCTATATATCTCAGCTATATCTTGTGAAGCTATATATCTCGGCTCTATCTTGTGTAGCTATATATCTCAGCTATATCTTGTGTAGCTATATATATCAGCTATACCTTGTGAAGCTATATATCTCAGCTCTATCTTGTGAAGCTATATATCTCAGCTCTATCTTTTGAAGCTATATATCTCAGCAATTCAAAATTGTAGACGCGCTTGGATTTTAGGGTCGGTCATAGCCTTGTCTTTTTAGGATGCCATGGGTCCGTCCGGATTATTCAATAATGAAAGCAGTGTCTGTGCTGTGAGCGTTTGTGCATCGCACGCAGGCGCCTTAGCAGGCAATATCTGAAATGTGCACCATCGACCCCAATCAAAGTAGACTGTTGATAGTACATATTCCGATAACGACTTAATAAGTACAGATGAAAGAAATTGGACCACATATATAACTACAGACGAGAGGATTGAGGGTCCGTATCTCCACCCGGCGCGTACGTTCCAGTAGTCTCATTGGAGGCTTGTTGACAAGCTTGGCTGTAGAGAGTCTGAATAAATTTATGGCGTTTGGTACACTTTGGAAAGAGGTAACTCTAACTCCATACTCATATGGGTATCCATACTTTGACCCCATACTTGATAGAGCAGTCCTTTTTATTTAGTCTAGTCCCATAGCTCGTAAAATAGTACCCATACTTTGACCACATACTTGATAGAGCAGTCCTTTCTATTTAGTCTAGTCCATAGCTTCGTAATTAGTATCCATACTTTGACCCCATACTTGATAGAGCAGTCCTTTCTATTTAGTCTAGTCCATAGCTTCGTAATTAGTATCCATACTTTGACCCCATACTTGATAGAGCAGTCCGTTTTATTTAGTCCCATAGCTCTTAAAATAGTGCCCATACTTGATAGAGCAGTCCATTTCATTTAGTCTAGTCCCATAGCTCGTAAAATAGTACCCATACTTTGACCCCATACTTGATAGCGCAGTCCTTTCTATTTAGTCTAGTCCCATAGCTTCGTAATTAGTACCCATGCTGTGACCCCA